GGGGGACCTGGGGGGGGACCCTGGGGGGGGACCGCCGGGCTCCCGGCTATCCCCCAGCCCCAACCCCTGCACACCTTGGGGCTCAGCCAAGCACACGCGGGGGCTCTGGGACCCCCAAACACCAGAAACGCCTCCACGGTGACACAGTGCGCTCTGCGGGGTGGCCAGGCCACCTCGAGGCTGTGGCCTGCGCTTCTCCCCACTCCCTGCAGCCTGCCTGCCGAGGGCCTGCCCTGCGCAGGGGCTGAGCCCGGCGGGGCGCTGTGGCGGTGGCTGCTGCTGATGCGGGGGCCTCCCGCCCCCCCAAGCCTCCCACCCGATGGTGCCCTGAGGCCCCAGGAGGCCGGCCGCGTCCCCCCACATGCTGGAACGGAGGGAGGGAGGCTCCCGGAGGTTGTGGGGCCTCGGGGACCTCCCGCAGCTGGGCCCGCGCCGGCTGGGAGCCAGCTCGAGGGCACCCCATTCCCAGTCCGTCTCTTTCCCACCGAGCGGCTCCGCCTCGCTTCTAATTTAATTAGGAGAACATTTAATCCCCCGTGCATTTCACAGGCCGGTTTGAGCCTGGCCGGGGCTGCAAGGCTCTGCCGGGGAGCCGGTGACTCATGCAGCCTCGCACAGGCCTCCCGTGGGGCTCCCTTGGCACCTCGTGCAGACAGAGGTGGTCTGGAGCTCCGAAGAAGACCGGACACCGGTCTGGAGAGACAAGCTGGTCTCATCTGTTCCTGGCAAGCCCCCTCCCACGTCCCCCCTGCACACTGGCCCCAGAGCTGCCTCTGCGCCCTCTCCCGCCGAGGTTTGCAGGGCACATAACAAAGCAAGGAGCTTGCGGGGGTGCAGTGCCTGTGCCTCCACGGCCCGTGGGCGTGGGCCACTGCGGGACGGGCCTCAGTGTCCCCAAAGCGTCCCAGGCGAGCTGGTCCCATTAAAAGAGACAGCCCCGGGTCCACGGAGCCGAGCGCAGGGCTGAGCCTTGTGACATTTGCCCCCCTTTCCAGAGGCACGGACGGGCTGGCCCTGAGCTCGCTGACAGACGCAGAATTCAGGGGACGTGAGCCGTGCCGTGGACGGGAGCCAGGCCACAGCGGCCTCGCTGGGAAGGAGAAGCGAACGCTTTGGCGTGAGATTCTGCAGGGGCCAGGAGAAAGTTGAAGACATGGAAATTCTAATTAACACACACAGGGCTGGTTTTGCTCAAGGACCTACAGGCTGTCATGTCGCAGGAGGCCCGCGAGCTCACGGTCACCTGGTGGGGGGCCCCGCAGTGCCCCAGCCCCGGCCCGCCTTCCGTCTGCCGTGCACCGGGAGGCCCCTGGCCTCCCAAGGCCCAACACGCTGCACAGGCCGCCGCTGCGCTCTCCCTGCAGGGCAGGACGGGGTGGGGGCGGCTGGGACACGCGGGCTGAGCCTCCCCTGCGAGAGGCCACGACGGCAGAGGTGGGGGGACCCTTTGGGTAAACTGCAGGCTGCGCTCGGGGCGGCCCGGCCTCTGGCACCGTCTGTCTTGGGTGTCCACGTGCACCCAGTGCGTTACATGAGCGTTTCAGGCCAGTCGTGGGCGACTTGGGAGCTGGGGGGAGGGACCTCGCGGAATCCCAAGGCTGCTGAGAGGAGGGTCCCCAGACCACACCCGCACACAGCCCCCTGCCTGGGCCGGTTCTGACCCAGCAGCCTGGCCCTGTGGCCAGCACCCGGGTTCCTGAGCCTGGCCTTTGGCTCTTCCTTGGAGAGCTGGTCCGGCTGGGCAGGGGCAGGCTGAGAGGGGCCACACACCCTGCTGCCCGGGAGCAAGGGGCTGGGCAGAGAAACACCCCCAGGGTGGCAGCTTGGGGAGGGGGTACAGAGAGGGCCTTGGCTGGAAGAGGCCGTGGCCGCCCGGCCCCCAGGCACCCCGGGCCTCGGCGAGGCGAAGGTGATGGCGTAGACACTGGGTGACTCGGGGTCTGATGGCTGCAGACGGGGGACGAGGGTGCTCAGGACGGACACGCGGGGCGGCCCTCCCTCCCCACAGTCCTGCTTCTCACTAGGCGAGAAGACAATGGGCAGATCAGCAGCCCGGGAACTGGGCCTGGCTCCTGCTGGGGCCCAGGGCTCCCCTCCCCTTGAGCTGGGGAGGGAAGCTCCCCATCCCCGCTGTCCTAACTGCCCTAGCTGTCCTGTCTCACACTCGCCCCTGGAAAGCCTACAGGCACGGGGGGCTGGGGGCAGTCGGGGGCTCCCTTCTGGCCCTGTTGGACGGGAAGACTGTGCTCGAAGGGTGCGAGCTCCCAGGGCTGCATGGGCGCAGAGCCTGCCGACGTGGCTGGGAGGCTACAGCCGCTGTCCCCCAGCCCGCCGCCCCCCGCTCCTGCTCGCTGGCAGCTCCCCTGTTTGCAGACAGGCTTGCTCGCTGACCCCGGCCCCACCCCTCCACCGATGGCCCACCGCCCGGGAAGAGGAGCTTCTCCCAGCCCCAGGGACCCTCCTGTAATCAGGGCTGTAGTGACCTCACCTCCCTGCGGCCCCACGGGCGGGGAGAGCTGGGGATGGAAACAAAATGTGCATTTATGTTTTTAATTTGAATCCTGGAAACGGCCCAACGTGGTATACATTCAACGTCAGTGAAATGCTGAGAAGTGGATCTGTGTTTCAGCGACGGCCCCACGCCCTCCCCGCGAGACCCCTGTGCACAGCCCCCCGCGCACAGCCTGGCCGGGCACGCAGGCTGGGGGGCGCACAGGCTGGGGGGCACACAGGCTGGGGCGCATGCCGCTGCCCGGTGTGGAAGCTGCCGCCGTGGGGGTGCTGGAGCCGAGCTAGACTGTGGCTGTGTCACAGGCGGGCTGTGTGTGAGGCGAGGGGACGTGGCCCCCCTGCCCCGCAGGCAGGCTCGGTGCTGTGGGTGCTCGGTGCCCACGCCGCCTCCAGCCGTGTGGGTGGGGGCCTCCCTCGGCCTGTCGCCCGGTGGTTCCTGTGTTCTTGGTGTTTCACTCTCCTGCACACCACCCTTCCACTGGGACCCTGATGAAGTACGGTACCCCAGCGCCCCGACTACTAAGGACGAGGCGGCCGCTCCGCAGAAACCCGTCTCCCCCCTCCCAGCCGCGGCTTCTGGCTGGCCTGCGCTGTGGAGGGCCTTCGCGGGTTCTCGGGCAGGGACCCAGCCAGGTGACAACTGGGGTCCTGGCCCCGCTTATACCCAGCCAGTGCTGGAGGTGACAGAAGACATTCCCCCCAACAAGCAGATAGCCACCCTGTGGGGCCACAGGCCCGCGAAGGCCACGGTGGGCTCCGGGTGACACACCAGGCCCATGGCACGCACAGAGCTGCGGCCGTTCGGGTCTGATGGCCTTTGTCTCAGAGGAGGGAGGACGAGACGGCCTCGCACCCCGGATGTCGCAGCCGCACTGGCCTGGGCACCTCCTGGCTCCAGAAAGTCTGCTGCATCTGGTACCAGAACAGACAGCCCTCGCCTCAAACGGAGCGGCTACAGAGCAGCCTGGGCCACCTCGGTCCCCAGTCCTCCACCACCATCACTCTGGGCCTCCTTGCGGGGCCCTTAAGGGCCCAGGAGCTGGTGAGGCCTGACGACCCAGTGGAAAAGACGGTGGGTGACAGCCCTGTCCTCCCAGGCGTGACTCCTGTGTGTGCGTCCTGGGGCCCAGCGTGGCTGAGAGGATGAAGCAGACACTGACGTGAGGACCACGGGCAGCTTGGGTGGCACAGCGAGGCCTGGGTGCTGTCGCGAGGCCGTGGTCCCCGCGAGCTCCGCCGTCACGCTCTGTCTGAGCAGGCACCACCACCCGCATTGCACACGGCCCTAGCCACAAAGCTCCGACTTTCGGCACTGGCCCCGACTCTGCAGGCCTCGGCCGGTGCCGGCCTGGGCCTGTCCGGCTCACACTGCCCACACCTCTGCCCGCAGCCACCTATCAAGCGAGCCTGGCAGGTCGTCTCTAGGATGGGCCTAGTGGTCAGAGCCCCGTTCCCAGGGGTGGCCCCGAAGCTCGCTCCAGGGCCGGGCCCACGAAGACAAGTCGCAGGCTCCCCGGCGACCGGGCCGGCCCCCACTGAGCCTGCAAGCACTTGCTCTGCCGCCCTGCCGACGTCCCTGTGGGCGTGCGGGACCTGTCTGGTCCCGGTCCCACCTCCTGACAGCCACAGCCGTCCCTCGTCCCTCGTCCCAGCTGCCCGGCCGCCAGTCCTCTGTTGACACGAGCAGCCGGACAGCCCCACAGGGCAGGTGCCAGCCCCCTCAGTCACCTGCGAGGCTGGGGCGGCACCGGCCAGCAGCCAGGCGCAGGCGAGGGCTCACTCGGACCCCTCGAAGGTCTGGAGGACCAGAATGTTCTCGAGTGACCGGTCGGCAGAGAGAAGGAAAGAGCCAGCAAGAGACTCGGGTGGCTGAGTGTGCCGCTCACACGTCTGGACACGAAGCTCGGGGGGTCCCCAGTGGGGATTCCAGGCTGGACCGGGCTCAAGTGCCCTTGACCCCACACAGGCCGTCGCTGCGGGGCGCCCTGGCTGGGAGCGCCGCGTCACGAGTCGGGGCGCGGATCGCGGCGG